ACCTTGCTTTTTCACCAGTCATTCAGTAATGAAGTTGTTTTGCCCTCAGGGACATTTCCACTGATATCAATGGCCTCACCTCAGAGTTGACAGCTACTACTGTTCCTTTCCTTGTGTGTAAAAAAAACAAAGTAGTTGTCCAGGAGGGAGCACGGCTGCTGGGTCTGCAGAGGGTTAAATGCTGGTTCTGACCCCCACCGATCACCTTGCTGAGTTTATATTGCCACCCTTAGACAGAGGGCAATGAGACAGATGCCTCCACTTTGAGAATATAAACTAGATACCGCATAGTGGTAACATAATGACCCCCGCACACACAAATGCACCAGAACTCAGAAGTCTTTATTCCTAATAAATGTCATCTCCTAGCTGCATCCCAAAATTGTAGTGGCTTGGGTAGGGGCCTTTTTTTTTGGGGGGGGGGGGTGGCATTGGTTGACCTGATGGATAGCCCCTCACAAGAGCTAAACAACAAAAGAAATCTGCAGCTCCTATGTTTAATAGTTTTTGAGCAATAACCATTTTTGTATGTCCAGATACCCCTTTTTCAGAAAAATTGGGGGTCTGGGGGGTGGGGGGGCACTGATTGGTGGGCTGGATGGATAGAGCTTCATCAGAGCTAAACAAGCAAAAAAAATCCGAAGCTCCAATGTTGAAGAGTTTCTGTGTTATAAGCATTTTTGCATGTCAGACACCCCTTTTTCAGACAAATTGGGGGCCCGGTGGGGTGGGGGCACTGATTGGTGGGCCTGATGGAGAGAGCTTCCTCAGAGCTAAACAACAAAAGAAATCTGAAGCTCCTATGTTGAACAGTTTCTGGGTTATAAACATTTTTGCATGTCAAACACCCCTTTTTCAGATAAATTGGGGGTCTGGGGGGTGGGGGGCATTGATTGTTGGGCCTGATGGATAGAGCTTCATCAGAGTTGAACAACAAAAGAAATCTGAAGCTTCTATGTTGAAGAGTTTCAGAGTCATAAGCATTTTTGCATGTCCAGACACCCCTACTTTGAAAGAAGCCCCCTCCTCAAATATGGGGTCTATCGTAAAACTGTTGGCTGACACAGTGTAGGTCAGACTCATCTACAGCCCTGCCAAATTTAATGTTGACAGGTGCAGCCGTTTTTGTGCTACGGTTGACCAAAAATCACTGAAAAAAAAAAACTAGACACCGCATAGCGGTAACATAATGACCCCCGCACGCACAAATGCACCAGAACTCAGAAGTCTTTATTCCTGATAAAGGCATCCCAAAATAGTAGTGGCTTGGGAGGGGGACTTTTTTTTCTTTTGGTGGAGGGGGCATTGGTTGACCTGATGGATAGCCCCTCATCACAGCTAAATCAAAGAAAATCTGAAGCTCCTATATTTAATAGTTTTTGAGCAATAACCATTTTTGTATGTCCAGATACCACTTTTTCAGATAAACTGGGGGTCGGGGGCACTAAATGGTGGGCCTGATGGATAGAGCTTCATCAGAGCTAAACAACAAAAAAAATCTGAAGCTCCTATTTTGAACAGTTTTTGAGCTATAACCATACCCCCTTTTTCAGAAAGTTGGGGATCCAGGGGGGCGGGGGGCACTGATTGGTGGGCCTGATGGATAGAGCTTCATCTGAGCTAAAGAACAAAAGAAATCTGAAGCTCCTACATTGAACAGTTTCTGAGTTATAGGCATTTTTGCATGTCCAGACACCACTTTTTCAGATAAATTGGAGTTCCGGGGGGTGGGGGCACTGACGGGTGGGCCTGATGGATAGAGCTTCATCAGAGCTAAACAACAAAAAAAATCTGAAGCTTCTATGTTGTATAGTTTCTGAGTTATAAGCATTTTTTCATGTCCAGACCTCCCTTTTTCAGATAAATTGGGGGTCCGGGAGGTGGGGGCACTGATTGGTGGGCCTGATGGACAGAGCTTCATCAGAGCTAAAGAACAAAAGAAATTTGAAGCTTCTATGTTGAACAGTTTCTGAGTTATAAGCGATTTTGCATGTTTCGATTTATTCGGTTTATTCACACACATTCACAAATTACGTAATACAAAATTCACATAGTGCATAATCCACAGTGTGTGAATCAGGTCTCCAAAAAGCTAATGAAAGCTTGTAAAGGAGCCTGAGTACATACAATTTTGTTAATTTAAAATACTACTACACAAACATTCATTCATCATACATATCATAACACAACATAAACAACAGACTACTATTAATGATCAGTCCATTGTAAATCCTACAAGTGGTCTCAGATATATAAAGAAAGAAATTTGGTCTTTAACTGTTTTATGAAGGTGGAGATGTCCTGACACCCCCACTTTGAAGGAGCCCCCTCCTCAAATATGTGGTCTATCGTAAAACCGTTGGCTGGCGCAGTGCTTAGACTCCTCCACAGTCCTGCCAAATTTCATGTTGATCGGTGCAGCCGTTTTTGTGGTACGGTTGACCAAAAATCACTGGACAAAAAAGAAGAAAAGAAAAAAAGAATAAACAGTACGAAAACAAAATGACTTCCGCTTACGCTTCGTGTGCGGGGGTCATAATAAACAGTACAAAAACAATATGACTCCCGCTTAACGGGAGGGTCAAAATGAGGCAATGGAGAAAACATAGGAAGGGATTTCAAAGGGAGTCTTCTGAGAGTTACCTTATGATCAGTAAGCCCCTTAACTCCTGGACTCTTTACCATAAGCCCTCAACAGGATAATATTGACTCAATAAAAAGAAATCTTCATCCTTTAAACCATTATTCTGTTTTCTGGATCTGAACCCATGACCCCATTTTCATTAAGCATTTGAAAATTAGATTTATCTATTGCTTTTCCAGCATTATAATTAAATTGAAAGATTGCTTGAGTGAGCATGTTTCAGCAGTACTCAAATACTTTTCTGTGGTAATTGAAAGTCAGCATTTCTTCTTTTCTTTGCAGCTCTGCCATGCACTTATCATTTAGTATTCTTTTTTTCTGGAGAACTTGTGAGCATTTACATAAGCCCATGTGAGAGAGGACTTTAGTTGCTTTGAAATTTCCCTGAATTTATAAAGTACCTTATGAACAAAAACACAATCATTTGAAGGGAAGTGCATTTTCCAACCACTCCTGCAGAGGGATTTAACAAATGATTTGACAAAATTTTCAAGGACCATAGATAGATCTTTTGTACACGATGTAATACATTTAAGTGCGATATAAAGAGACAACTCTGAATGATTTATGTTAAGATGAAAAAAAAGCACCGTGATTTTTCTCTTAAAAATAAATTGTTTAACTCTTACATCCTTTTAAAAATAATTGTCAAATCTAAACTAGTTATTTGCCACATGATTACAATTTTTCTAAGTAAATTAATTTGTGATTTCCGTTTGTTAGTGTTGTAAATGTATGGTACTGTATGGACTGTACTTATATAGCGCCTTTCTATCCATCCAGGACACTCAAAGCACTATACACTTACAGACATGTGTATTCACCCACTGATGATGACAAACTACAATTGTAGCCACAGCTGCCCTGGGGCACACTGACAGAGATGAGGCTTCCATACACAGGCGCCACCGGATCCTCTGACCACCATCAGTAGGCAAGGCGGGTGAAGTGTCTTGCCGAAGGACACAACGGCATGTGGGCATGGCCGGGGAGTCGAACCTGTGACTTGCGGGTGCCAAAGCCGGCTCTACCACTACACCACAGCCGCCCTGTGTTGTCACCTCATGCATGAAGCTTGCAGGTCCACTCTGTGCACAAGTGGGCTTACTCCAGGTACTCTAGTTTCATTATACAGACCAAAAACATAAATGTTAGGTTCATAGGTAACCCTAAATTTTCTGTAGGTGTGAGTGAGAGTGGTGATGATGTCACATGATGACCACAAATAAACAGGCACCAGCTTCCCCGCGACTGAAAAATAAAGTCAGCTTGAGAAACTGGATGGATGATTATTATGACCCCCGCACGCGAAGCGTAAAGGGCTCGACACACGGGGAGTGACAAACTACAGCAATTAATGGCTGTCATTGCAGCCAGGGTGAAACCCGACACACGGGACGTGCAGCGTTGCAAATTACGCTCTCAGGTCGCTTGTCTTGTCTTCACGAAATTTGATTGGTTCTCCTACTGCCTCTTGTAAAGGTGGTTCACAAAAAAGGGGGGTGTGCATTACGGACATGTAAACTAAACAAATCTTGTGATGCTAATGAAATTGAAAAACAAGCACCAAGATACAATTTTATGAGGAAAAACTTACCATAAACTTCACCCTGGTGCCAATAAATTCCCACAAAGCTTTTTTGTAATCACTTGGTGAAAGTGTTAGCTAACTGCAGTGTCAGTGCACCTCTCATTGGTCAGTCAATGAAACCCTCCTTGATTGGTTGTACGGTAAGCGACAGCGACAAAAGTTCAACATTTTTCAACTTTCATATGTAGCGTTGCAAGCTCACGTGTGCACGTCTACGTGTACGAGCGTGAAATTTCACCAGCACTATTTTCGCCGGTCGTTTAGCTGGAGAAAGGCAAGCGATTGTTGCCTCACCACACACGCTCCATAGGAGATGAATGGAGAGCGAGCGACGTCGCCTCCCATGTGTCGAGCCCTTAAGCGGGAGTCATTGTTTTCATACTGTTTTATTTTTTATTTTATTGTGACCCCCGCACGCGAAGCGTAAGCGGGAGTCATATTGTTTTCGTACTGTTTTTTTTCCTCCGGAGGTTTTTGGTCAACCGTAGCACAAAACCGGCTGCACCGGTCAACATTAAATTTGGCAGGATTGTAGATGAGTCCGACCTACACTGCGCCAGCCAACGGTTTTACAATAGACCCCATATTTGAGGAGGGGGCTCCTTTCAAAGTGGGGGTCGCTGAACATGCAAGTTTACACTCTCCGAGTGCTTCTAGCACCCGCGTAATTTACACGGGGGATGGGGGGGTTATAACCCCCCCAATAATTTGATCCAGTCAATATACCCCCCCCCCCTCCAATAAAATTGCATCATTTAAGTATATGTAACAGGGTTATTATTTCTTCATGTTATATTTCACCAAAATCCTGTTTCCGTTCATTATTTTGTCACTTCTTTTGTTGACAGTTTATTTTTGTATTTATAATTTTGGGAGCTTTTATTTTGAAGTCCATCGACTGTGCGATGTCACTTCCGGTCCCGCGCAAGCTCTCCTCAGAAGCRRGTAGCAGAGCTGAGGAGAGGTAGGTTGCAAATATGCTCTTGGTTAAACTAACATAAAGTTGTTAAAATGTGTTAACACTTACTTGAATATCACTGTAAGGAAGTTAGAAGTTTATAACTTCGTTCTGGAATTATTATTTTTATTGGTTACATTGTGTGCAGAGTTGTACAACACGTTAAAAATGCAGTTAGCATTTTAACAGGGTTTCTCATGGGTCTACCATTTGTATCTGTTTTAGGCTGTGATTGTGAGAAACCATGAGCTGTACTGACTGATATTATTTGTGCACAGGTATGTGATTGTTCTGTTTTATCGCGTTTAAAATGTATTTCATGTATTTTATATATGTTCATGTATTCTGAAATTTAAAGTTGCYGCTGGCTGGTGGGGGATACTTTTGATTTATTTTACAATATTTGGAACTATGGGTTCTGAAAAGAGACAAATGTATTTTATTTTTTTATAACCTGTTGTTCTCCTGAGAAGCGGGTAGCAGAGCTGAGGAGAGGCTGTGATTGTGAGAAACCATGAGCTGTACTGACTGATATTATTTGTGCACAGGAAAATAAATCCCTCCTGTTCAACTGGCCATCATCTGATCTCCGTTCGTTATAAAAGAAACAAAACACAACGCAGAGTCGAACAAGACCGGTCACATATACATAT